TCAACCAGTTATCTTTTTCTTTCAGCTGATTGTATAACTTGCAAACTCAAAATACATCCTACTTTAGTCTATCATCAAGCATCAAAGACATGAGAAGTTCTAACAACTTAACATCAAATTCTTCTTACCTCATTTTGTAGTTTCTGCACCATAATTTCATGATCCTCTTCCTGCTCTTGAACTAGCTCCTCCAAAGAGTCAATAATCGCTTGACTACTCAGCGATTCCGCCATCTTTTCTTCTCTTAATTTTCGATTTTCTTCTTTCAATGATTTCACTTCTTCATTAAGTACAAGTTCACGCTCAAAATAGTCCTCAATTTTCAATCGGAGCAGTTCTTTTTCTTCATCAGATTTGTTTTTAACAAGCTATTGAAAAAAGTAAAGACCTTTGTATTCATATGACTATAGCATCGAATTAATAATCGCACTAAAGCTACTCTTTCTTGAATTTGAAAATATAAAATAAAATGTGTATTATCCTTGAAAATAAAATGTAAATCTTGAATGCATTGCGTAATGATAAATATAAATCAAAAGTGAATCCAATCTGTAGTTGACTTCAAAATTAATTTATTTTCCAATTGTTACAATTATTCAGCTTTTATTGAGCTACCATGACTAGAATGTCGTTTCTACTTTGCTCAATTTTTTCTAAATTTGAACTCACCTTGAGGTTGTTTGCAACACTCTCTCTTTTCAATGGAGTTTTGCTTCCATCTTCTTCGATGGATATCCCAAAGTATTCTTGAATCAGTATTGTAAGGATCTGGTTCTCGACCAATTTTTGTTTCGTAAGTGTGGATCTCTCACGCTCCATCATGAGATCTTTCTTCAGCAGAAATATCTAAGAATGAAATCAAATCAATACTTTAACTATCTCACCAAAATAATATTTATCGATTCATAACTTTGATAAGATAGTTCTTTTCTATGAATGAAACTTCTCTAAAACTTTATAATTTGCTTTAATTATCATGCCACTCGTTGTTAAAGTTCAATTTTTACATATTCTTTAATAGATATGATTATTTTTATGGTTTACTCTTAAATCATTATATAAACAATTGTTATTTATACTTAGAGAGTCATATATGGATAATGTTTGATAAATACATGGGTTTTTCTTTCTTTCTTTACTTTATTCCTTGCACCTTTCATTTGTGGCAGATAAAATTTACTAACCTTGAATGGATAGTCCTTGTCTGCTTCTTCTTTGATCTTCTCAAGCAGTGCATGGTTGATGCAGCGAAGGTTTTCCTTGTCTTTCTCAACCGTGTTCAGCTTTTCGCCCAACGCCAGCATATCCAGTCTTATTTTGGACAGCTCGCCTTTCACCTCAACGTACCCATTTTTCGGTCTCCTTCGACTTGTGTTCGACATTGCTGATTCTTATGTAAACAGCAATAGAAAATCTCGTAGTATCACTCTGATTGTAAACTCAGAACGGCACTCTAAATCAAGTGTGAAGTTGTATTGGCGTTTTTCGCTTTTATTGAATTTTGATTTATTGTGACGTCACTTGATTGGTTTCCCATCAAATTTGACGTTACAGTAGAGTTTTTGAAGGGCCTAAGCTCTTATTTCTAGACAGGTAAAATATTTTGTTACCAATACAGTATTTCCTCGCTTTTTGCTATTTTTTAATATTTTTTGAAAATAATGACTACCATCTTTTGCCACTTTTTTTAGTGACAACATACTCTAAATTATGTTTTGCATGCTAAAAATCGAGGACAATATTGTGTGCATAGTATTGAAAAATTTTTGGGAATGCAAAACATTAAACGATGTCTTGGTTAAGGATGAATTCCTCTGTTTTTAAACAATTTTCAAGGATATTTGAGGCCAAGCCTGCTTAGCGAAGTTTGAATAATTTTTCGATTAAGACCGTTAGTGCAGTGTAGACGTCCGTTATTTGAAGGTGGCTAGTATATTTTTTTGACAGGGATGAAGAGTTTTTAGGGGCAAAGTATCTGACTTTTTTTAATGGTATCCGTTGTTTAGAGGTTTTTGTTACTTTGAGAGTGTTTGAAGATGTGTCCTTACTCCGGGTACCAGAGCGAAATTATTTCGAGCGTGGGAATAAAAGATAGGATTGGAGAAGCGGAGGAGCGTAGGAGCGCCTGAGCGTAGGAGCTTCATTCTCCGCATGGCCTTCTATTTATGCGCTCGAAATTTTGTGGTTGGCACCCAGGGTAAAGAGTCCTTTGATTCAAGGTATTCGTTGCTCATTTGTTTTTGTTGCTTGGCGGTGTCTGCAAATTTGAGGGTGTTAGTTGTTTGAAAATCTGTTCGTTATTTGGATGTGTACGTTTTTTCAGATGGCTGTTGTTTGTGGATGTTTTTTTTTTGGAAGTTGCATTGTTTTAGAAGTATCCTTTGTTCAGAATATGTTCGTTTTTTGATGTAGTAGGTAAGCTTATTAAGATTTCACTGCGCTTAAATGAAATGTTCATTACTAGAAATATGGTGCGTTCTACATTGCGTAAACCTTAGGAACTGTAAAACTTAACAATTAGATATGGTGAAACTTAAGTATTCGTATTAAGCACTTTCTAAGTTGCACGAAAAATGACAGAAAATAAAGAATCGATAAGCACCTTACGTACGAGACTTATAGAATATAATATCAGATATTGTTTAAAGGGTGAATTGAAATGTGGTCAAATTTTGAAATTATTTGTGTACTTGATTTCAAGGAAAATTCATTGCTGCACTTTTTGATAAAAATAGAGTTTTTTTGATTTGGCTACCCACGCCATTTTTCGTCTTGTAAGGCTATCAATTTGTCCAATCGTCAAGAAATTTTGAATTTTTTAGAAATTGCATAAAATTTACAATAATATAGTAAGCATATGAATTGAGTACCAGAATGAAATAAAGTAGTTTGATAAATTTATTTGTTAACTATGTTATCGTTATTGTGCATGAAGTACCGCACGAAACGTACATATTTAGTTGCATAAAATGTGCCTGCAATAACGGCATGTATATAAATAATTATTTCACTGCACTTACATTTCATTTATCACTGCACAAAACCTCTTTATCAGTCAAGAAAGTGATCACTGCACCTACAAATTAGGTATGTTTCTTTGATTGCACACAAGCGATTGCCGTTGAGCTGATTTTGTCCGGATCTCTTTGAGGTATGGACAGTTGGAACATGACCAGAAATTGAAAGTCTTATACCCAATAATTTATTAAAGCCCAGTTGCTACAATATATGCCATTAAATCATTAAAAACTGTTCCGGTTCAATCAATTTTCCTAGGTATCTACATACGAAGCAGACGCCTTGCTGGTGTATTGCAACAAAGTGAATTCAGTAAACCTTTCGTATGCACTGCATACTGAAACGAATTTTGGTCACTACTTACTGAATTGTAGACCAGTATAGAAGGCCCCCGAGAGGATTCAGAGGCCCTGAAGCAAAACGGTAATATGAGGCCCCCTGCAAGCGGTGTGTGCAGAAAATTTTTGCAACCTAGCATTTCAAATAAGCTGAAAATCCTTTTTCAAAATATATCCCAAGTCATTTTCTTCCAATCGTTTGAAACATTAATGTCACTTTTAGCAATGCTTTTGCTACGTTTGATGAATTCTATTCTTTGAATGGATTTCGCTCCTTTATGAGGCTTCCTAAACCACGAGGCGCCCTTGCCTTGCTCTCGGCAGTGTTGCCAGCACATATTTTTGTTTTGTCCATTGATGTACCATATTTTCGACTAAAGAATTTCATAAATCCGGTGTGCGCGGTTCACAATCAATGGCTCCTCCCCAACTATTTACGTCCCTGAGTACAGTTTCGTCATGACAACATTCAGCTCATATGGTTGGTTTGTCCAATCCTTGCACCATTTTTTGAAATAAAAGATTTCATAAATCCGGTATGCGCCGTTCGCAATCAATGGCTCCCCCCCCCAACTACTTACGTCATTGAGTTCAGTTTCGTCATTATGACATTCAGCTAGGCATTGATATATTGCAAAGGCGCTTTAAGATTTTTTTTTATCTTGTAATTCCAGTGTAAAGCCTTCATCTCCTAATGGATAACCGTCCTTTCTGATTTTCAGTTTTTAGCCTTGTTGTGAATAGCAACGAGATGCAATTCTGTGTTGAACTTTTGAAATCGGAGACAGTTGTTCCACATTTTTCTTCCTATTTTAGAATTTTGTGGTACCAAACATATACCAGGATGCATCTTGCTACTGTAGATTTTAACCTATGCAATCTGAAAATCTTTTTAATTTTTAACAAATGGAAAACAGCGACCATAAGGGAGGACACACCCTTAATAATTTTATTAAATACTGACACACTTATAGGTGTCATATATTAAATAAGTGGACACAATAAAAAAACATTTTCTTCGTAAATAAACAAATATAATTTATCAAATCCTGATGTTACATCATGGTAAAAAATAAATTTTTTATGTATACACGTCTTTATCAGTTTGAGAAAAATGTTTATTCATGAACAAGACACAAGTTTCTTCCACCATCGCCTGTTCTTCGCTTTATGAAGCCTCTGATTAAGTTGATGGATGACGTCATTCAGCTCGTTATTCTCATCACGCACTGCACGTAGTTCTTCTTCCAGCAAAAACTTTGAGTTCTTTTCCTTCTCTCCTTCTTCGTTTGACTCCTTGAGCTGTTGCGTGAGCACCTGGTTTTCACTCTCAAGTTCATTGATTTTATCTCTCTGTTCTTCGCCCTCCTTCTTCAATGAGGCAATGTCTGCTTTCATTGCAAGACTATGATCCAGATGCTTCTGATACTCTACAATCATTGTCTTCAGTAATTTGTTCTTCTCTTCTTCAAGGGTTTTATTCTAGAAGTTGAAATAAAAGTAATGTGTAAATAATAAATTACTTTGAAACAGTTTTTCTTTAGAATTTACTGTATCAGAATCATCAGATTGCTTATTACTGAATCAGTTTGGCAAGAAGGAGGCGTGGGTCACGTATTATGTTAATGCCCACCACACTATGAATTAAAGAAGAAATAATATACACTAAGATTTGAAGAAGGGGTAAAGAACATTGTAGAGATGTATGAAAGCAGATCGTATATCTAAAACTATAGCACTTATCATTTCCAATACTCTATGTTTTAAATTTACTACGCCAATGTGTACGCTGGTTTTTAAGAAGGTATTTCCTGCAATAATTCAATAAGTTGGCTTGGGACTATGCATTTATAAGAAAAACAAAGGTGTTCATATCCAGTCAACTAGCTATAACTCAACTTACATTTCCTTCCATAATCAATAGCTTCGACTCTAAGTCTTCAGCTTGTGTCTTCCAACAGCTCATTTCAGAAGTCATTTCCATCAAATTTGAGGATGCTTCTTTGTAGTTATCGCCTGCCTCTTTAAGGCTTTGCTGTGTCGCCCTGAGCTGTTGTTTGGTGCTTTCGACCTCATTCTCTAGAAGAACTGTCGCTTGCTGCAGCTTTTCAGCTCTGTGTTCTTTCTCGGATAGCTGTAGCATGATTAGTTTCTCTTGTTGCTCCGTCTCTAAAAGCTAAGAGTTAGTTGCAAAATTAACAACTGCTAAATATTGTATTAACGTTAAGACGAAATCAAGTCAAGGCAAATACGAGCGTTGCATTGAAAAATCCAACCAAGCACTAAAATTTGCATCAATATTCGAGACTTGCTGTTATGTAATCTGCTAAATTCTTTTAGAATTTGTACCAATGAAGGTGAACAAACATTTGATTGCCAACAGATTGACAAGTCCTGGTGTTTTTTCCTTGAATATCTTTTCTTGTCATATCACAAACGTTACTTGCTTTAACCAACGCTAATCTCGAGTATTCTTTACTTTAATCTAACCCGAGAAATCTTTTTTCCCTTCTTTCATATTTTTATATATGAAAGAAACAATTTTCTATTGTGGGGCTTGGGACATTAAGGTATTGCCTGAAATTATTTACACTTATTTGTTTTGCCAAATTCAAAAACAACTATGACAATCTTTGCTGAAGTGGTCTTATGTTGTAATTGAGTGTTATTAAGTGGCTTACCTTCTTCGTTAGTGACAAACATCTATCCCCAGATTCTTCAGCTCTTGATCTCCACTCCGACACTTCATTGGACAGTTCCTTCAATTTTGCCAAATTGTTAGAAGCGTCTTCCTCAAGCATCATTACTTTCCCCTTGACTTCTTTGACTTTCATTTCCAGTTCAGCCTTTTCTTTTTCAAGTGTGTTAATCTTTGCATTGCTTTCTGAGAGTTTTTCATTGGCGGACAAAGCTTGCTGCTTCAATTCACAAATTTGTCCACTTTGTGCTGCTTCTTGGTCTCTGGAGATGGTCAGCTGTAGAAAAAATCATTTGCTTTAACCAAGTCTAAATGCTATATCAACCATCAACCATATCATCCAGTTATTTTTTTCATTCAGCTGATTGTATAACTTGCAAACTCAGAAAACATCCTACTTTAGTCTATCATCAAGCATCAAAGACATGACAAGTTCTAACAACTTAACATCAAATTCTTCTTACCTCATTTTGTAGTTTCTGCACCATAATTTCATGATCCTCTTTCTCCTCTTGAACCAGCTCCTCCAAAGACCCAATAATCGCTTGACTGCTTAGCGACTCCGCCATCTTTTCTTCTCTAAATTTTCGCTTTTCTTCTTCCAATGATTTCACTTCTTCATTAAGGACAAGCTCACGCTCAAGACTGTCCTCAATTTTCAATCTGAGCAGCTCTTTTTCCTCATCACATTTGTTCTTAACAAGCTATTGAAAAAAGTGAAAACTTTTGTATTGATAAACTATAGCATCGAATTAATAATCGTACCAAAGCTACTCTTTTTTGAATTTGAAAATATAGAATAGAATGTGGATTATCCTTGAAAATAAAATGTGAACCTTGAATGCATTGCGTAATGATAAATATAAATCAAAAGTGAATCCAATCCGTATTTGACTTCAAAATTAATTTATTTTTCAATTGTTACAATTATTCAACTTTTATTTAGCTACCATGACTAGAATGTCGCTTCTACTTTGCTCAATTTCCTTCTAAATTTAAACTCACCTTAAGGATGTTCACAACACCCTCTTTTTTTAATGGAGTTTTGCTTCCATCTTCTTCAATGGATATTCCAAAGTATTCTTGAATCAGTATTGTAAGGATCTGGTTCTCGACCAATTTTTGCTCTGAAAGTGTGAATCTCTCACGCTCCATCATGAGATCTCTATTCAGCTGTAATATCTAGAAATGAAATAAAATCAATTTTTTAAAAATATCAGCAATATTTATAACAACTTCACTTTTATACAAATTTAGATAGTTTTCTATAAAATATACTTCTCTAGCAATTTATAATTTGCTGCAATTATCCTGCCACTTGTTATTTTTCTATGTCTACATATTCAATCTTTATCAGGCAATATTTCTTTTAAATGCCTGTAGATTATTTTCTTGGTTTACCTGTCCATCATTATTTAAACAATTATTATTTGTACTTAGAGAGTCACACTTTTCATTTGTAGCGGATTAAATTTACTAACCTTGAGTGGATAGTCCTTGTCTGCTTCTTCTTTGATCTTTTCAAGCAATGCATGGTTGATGCAGCGAAGGTTTTCCTTGTCTTTCTCAACCGTGTTCAGCTTTCCGCCTAACGCCTGCATATCCAGTCTTATTTTGGACAGCTCGCCTTTCACCTCAACGTACCCATTTTTCGGTCTCCTTCGACTCGTATTCGACATTGCTGATTCTTATGTAGACAGCAATAGAAAATCTCGTAGTATCACTCGGTATTTAGCTCTGATCGTATGCTCAGAACGGCACTTTAAATCAAGTGTGAAGTTGAATGGGAATTTTTCGCTTTTATTGAATTTTGATTTATTGTGACGTCACTTGATTGGTTTCCAATCAAATTTGACGTTACAATATTTGAGTTTTTGAAGGCCTAAGCTCTTACTTCTAGGCTGGTAGAATTTTCCGTTATAAATACAGTATATCCCTGCTTTTTCCTTTTTTTAATTTATTTATCTGTTTGGAAATAATTGCGACATGCTAATTGTTACTTTTATTAGGGATAACCTGTTCTAACATCGTTTTACATGCTAGAAACCAAAGATTATATTGAGTTATTTCTTCATTAAACACTTTTTCGTAAATAAATTTTCTTAGTGTAATACATGCTTTCAGTTGAAATGTTTTTCCCAGCAAGTCCATCTTGTGTTAGTTCACAAACTCTTTTCTATTCGATTTTATAATTGTCCCGTCGGTTTGATTTTATTTTGGAGAGGCACTTTAGTTTTGGATGGCCTCTTGGTCTTGAATAGTTTTTTTAAGGCTAGCTTTGCAGGGGTTTGTTCTGGTAAACGAAACGCGTGTCTTAACCATGTAAGTTGACGTTTTATGATTTTTTGCTCTATGGAGTTTTATTAGTTTGTTGGTAGAAATCTTCATTTTTCATAATTTTGGATAAATTATGTTAATGATGTATGTTGAAAGAATTTTCTATTTATATTCGCATACATGGTCACACGTGCACGTCGAGATAGTAAAATTTTTCGGTTTTGCTGGTATTTATGGTCAAGTTGCGTTGCGAAAGAATTTCTGGTAGATCGTTTTGTTTTTGTTGAATGTATGTGTAGTCTGATGTTATGCTTGTGATTTTGTCTGCATATTCTAGGTCTAATGTTATGTGATTTTGCTGTTGCTGTATGTTGTAACAATGTTATCCATCTGTGGGTGCTATTTCCCATCAGAAGTTATGATTTCGCCCTAAAACAGGCTGTTCATTCAACTGCAAGGACCTAGTGAGGTAGAAAATGAATTCTGTTGCACAGGCACAATCGCCTTAAGAGATACCTGTGTCTGTCTGAAAGAAGTTCTTGATATTATCATTGCGTTTCACAGCCAGTTGTACATCCAGAAGGAATGATTGAATGAATCATTAGATGGAGTTCTTCTTTGGTAATGATGTTTTCAAGATCTTGAATTGTTGTATTGTTGTATTTACTGAGTCGAATGCTTTGCCCATATCGTTCACCATTAGGTAAACGGTTTCGTTTTTTGATGTTCTTGTCCTTTCTATGATTTATTTTGTATTATTGGTGTTATTATTTTGAGTATGGACAACAGAATAATTGGTCTGAGAGTTTGGTGGACCTGATTTTTGCCAGGTTTTTAAGCGAGTGTAACAAACCTAGCACCAGCTCTTCTGGATGTTGACCGGTTTAAGCAATGTCATTGAATATTTCAGCTATGAGTATAACGATTGGAGCATGTTTTAGATATTCAATTGTGATTTCGTCAATACCAGGATTTTTGTTATTTTTAATGTTGTGAACGGCATTTGATACTTCTTTAGCAGTAAAGGGGTTTTCATCTTTTCTGAAAGCATGTTCAGGAGTGTTTCAGCATCTTTGAAGAACTGCGATTCAAATATTTTTGAATTGTTTTGCATTGTTGGACTTTGTTGGATGTTAAACCTTAGTTTGTTGCGACGAGTAATGATTTTTTTAGATTGAAACTATTGAAGGTCTTGTTTGCTCCGTACATCCCTTGATGATTCAATCGTTGCGAACACTTTAAATATTTTTTATTACTTCATCTGTTCTGTTTGTATCACTCTTTTTTAGATCAAGGTGAATTTGCGGCAGTGTTTGGTTGCGTTCTTTTCTAAGTTTATCGGATAGCTGTTTGTTTCATGTTGATAGGTGGGAGGTTTTTTTAGCTGCCCTGACAGTTGTTGTTTTTCAGGTTATTGTTGTTAGTCATTGAGTGCATGGTGTTTTTTGGGCATTCAACATTGTAGACGTCTTCGTTAAGGACGAATTCCTCTGTTTTTCAAATAGTTTTAAAAAGCATTTGAGCCCAAGTCTGCCATCAAATGTTCGATTTATATACAGATTCGAGCTGTTAGTCTATTAATCTGACATTTGCCTATGTTTTATGTCCTTAACATGGTGTATTTTCCTGTTGTTATTGTATATGCTAATTTGTGATCAATTGTGAGCTATAATAATCACAATTAATTAACTGTGATACTATATATTTTTTCTAATATCTATATGGCAGAACCCAGTAGCCCCAGAGTCGTTTTTGACTTAGATGGAGATAATAATAATAATAATAATAATAATGATACAATTTATTTTCAATTGGCGACTATACTAGCAGCAGTGCTAATTAAAGCCAACTTTATACAAAAAGAGCCTATTAACATAAATTCTAAAATCTAAAAATATAAATACAAATAATACATTGCTTACTCGATATAGCCAAGGTTTGCTATAAACGTTTTTCAAAGCTTGCAGTTGCATTTGTCTGTAGTCCATTTTTTGATGCCACCCTTCAAAGATTTCTAGAGTGGGAGACGCTTCGGTTTCACTTGGTAACGTCTGCCAAAGTCTGCTTCCAACATATCGTATGTTTTCTCTACCATGAGCAGTTGTATTTGCTCTTGGTGCCAGACGACCAAGGAGATTTTTTAGGGGAAGCTATCCACCATTGTTTAATGGCGTCCGTTGTTGGGATTTGCCTGTTACTTGAAGAGCGTTCGTTGTTTGAAGATATGTCCAATATTTGAATGTCTACAATTCTTCAAAATGGCAGTTGCTTGAGGAAATAGTATTTTTGGAGGTTGTTCTGGTTCAGACTCTAGAAGTATCGGTTTTTTGGATGGTGCTCGTCATCCTGAGGTGTTTTCATTGTGCTTAAATGAAATACTTTTGCTAAAAAGATTTCTGCGTTCTAAATTTGCGTACTCCTGATTATCTTCAGAATTGGATATGGTGAAACTAAAGTTTTCGTAATAAGCACTTTCTAAGATGCTCGAAAAACCATAGAAATTACGTTCGATACTTATAGAATAAAATGTGAGATATTTATTAAAGGGTAAACGGAAGTTGATTTGCGGGGAAATTTTGAAATTCTTTGCATACTTAATTTTATGGGAAATTTATTACTGCACATTTTGATGAAGAATTTTTTGCCCATCTTGAGGCTATCAAATTTCTTGGTCATTCTCCAGAAATTTCAGAAATTAGAAGTTTTTGGAAATTGCGTAAAATTTGCCCCAACTTACTATAAATGATCCTTTCACTATACTTATTTGCTATTTTCACTGCACAAAACCTTTTTTTACTCCAGCAAGTGGTTATGACTGCACCTAAAAGTTAGATATGATTCTTTGCTTGCACGTAAGGGATTTGTCATTGAGCTGATTCTGTCAGGACTTCTTTGAGATATGAACAATTTGACTATGACTAGAAACTGAAGAGGCCTATACCCAACAACTATACCCAAAGCAAGCCCTGTCAATATGTTTTATGCCAATATTCCGTAAAAGCTGTTGTGATTCAATCAATCTTGCTAGGTGTCTACAAACGAAGCCGAAGCCTTGTTAGTTGTGGTTGAACAAAGTAGTTTTGTAGATTCAGTAAACTTTCTTATGCGCTGCATACTAAAACGAATTTTTGTCACCCCTTACTGAATTGTAAACCAGCACACAGGCCACCAAGAGGTTTCAGAGGCCCTGAAGGAAAACCAAGAGTCGGGGACCTTACGAGGGGTGCGAGCTGATAATTTTTGCAAACAAACCCTTCAGATAAGCTTAAAATCTATTTCGAAATATGTCCTCAGTCATTTTCTTGCAATCGTTTCAAACATTAATACCACTTTTAGCAATACTTTTGCTACGTTTGATAAATTCTATTCTTTAAATGGATTTAGCTCCTTTATGAGGCCCCCTGGACCTCGAGGCCCCCTTGCCCCGCTCTCAGCAGCTTTGCCAGCACATATGTTTCTTTTGTCCAATGGATGCACCATATTTTCCACTAGAAAATTTCATAAATCCGGTATGCGCCGTTCTCAATCAATTGCTCCTCCCCAAAGCATTCATTTCCTAAAGGACAAACGTCCTTTCTGATCTTCAGTTTTTAGCTTTGTTGTTAATAGCAACGAGATGCAATTCTGGGTGGAAATTTAAAATTTGGAGACAGTTGTTCCACCTTTTTCTTGCTATTTTAAAATTTTGTGGTACCAAAAATATATCAGGATGCATCTTGCTACTGTGGATTTCAACCTGTGCAATCTGATCTGAATATTATCTTGATTTTTAACGAATGAAAAAAAAGCGAACATAAGGGAGAACACACCATTTATAAGTTGATTAAATACTGACACACTTATAGGTTTCATATATCAAATAAGTGGACACAATTAAAAAACATATTCTCCGTAAATAAACCAATATAATTTATCAAATCGTGATGTTACATCATGGTAAATAATGTGACTTTTTATATATACAAGTCTCTATCAGTTTCAGAAAAATGTTTATTTATGAACAAGACACAAGTTTCTTCCACCATCGCCTGCTCTTCGCTTTATGAAGCCTCTGATTAAGTTGATGGATGACGTCATTCAGCTCGTTATTCTCATCACGCACCACACGTAGCTCTTCTTCCAGCACAAACTTTGAATTCTTTTCCTTCTCTCCTTCTTCGTTTGACTCGTTAAGCTGTTGCACGAGCACTTGGTTTTCACTCTCAAATTCAATTATCTTTTTTCTCTTCTCATCGATATGCCATTTCAATGTAGTGATTTCTGCATTCATTGCAAGACTATGATCCAGATGCTTCTGATACTCCACAATCATTGTCTTCAATAGTGTATGCTTCCCTTCTTCAAGCATTTTGTTCTGCAATGTTGAATAACAGTGCATTTGAGACAATACAAGAACTATCAATTCACTGTGATTTACAAACTTTCTTTAAAGTTTAGTGTATCAGAAACATCAGATTGCTGATTACTGAATCAGTTTGGCAAGTAGGAGGCGTGAGGCACGTCCTCTGTTAATGCCGGTCAGCCACACTTTGAATCAAAAAAGGAAATAATATTCACTACGATTTGAAGAAGGGGTAAGAACAATATTCAAATTTTGCTAAATATTGTAGAGATGTATCTTATTGCCCAATGAAAGCAAATCGTATATCTAAAACTATAACACTTATCATTTTCAATACTCAATATGTTTTAAGTTTACTACTCCAATGTGTACGCTGGTTTTTAAGAAGAAATTTCCTGCAATAATTCAAATGGTTTGCTTGAGACTATGCGTTTATTAGAAAAACAAAGGTGTTCATATCCAGTCAACAAGCTATAATCCAACTTACGTTTCCTTCCATTACCAATAACTTCGACTCTAAGTCTTCAGCTTGTGTCTTCCAACAGCTCATTTCTGAAGTCATTTCCATCAAATTTGAGGATGCTTCTTTGTAGTTATCGCCTGCCTCTTTAAGGCTTTGCTGGGTCGCCCTGAGTTGTTGTTTGGTGCTTTTGACTTCATTCTCTAGAAGAACTGTCGCTTGCTGCAGCTTTTCAGCTCTGTGTTCTTTCTCGGATAGCTGTAGCATGATTAGTTTCTCTTGTTGCTCCGTCTCTAAAAGCTAAGAATTAGTTGCAAAATTAACAACTGCTATATATTGTATTTGGACAAAATTAAGGCAATGACAGAGCGTTGCAGTTGGCACTTAATCTAAAATGTGTCTCGATATCGATACTCTATACTTGTTCTTATGTAATCTGCTGAATTCTTTTAGAACTTGTACCAATGAAGGTGAACATACATTTGATTGCAAACAAAACAAGTCCTAGTGTTTTTTCCTGGAATATCTTGCTTTGTCATCATATCACAAATGTAACTTGCTTTAACCAACGCTTATCTTGAGTATTCTTTACTCTAATCTAACCCGAGAAATCTTTTTTCCCTTGTTCCATATATGTGTTTATTAAAGAAATAATTTTCTATTGTGGGATTGCCTGAAAACATTTACACCTATTTGTTTTGCCAAATTCAAAAACAACTGTGACAATCTTTGCTTAAGTAGCCATACGTTGTAATTGAGTGTTATTAAGTGGCTTACCATCTTCGTTAGTGAAAGACATCTATCCCCAGATTCTTCAGCTCTTGTTCTCCACTCTGCCACTTCGTTGGACAGTTCCTTCAATTTTGCCAAATTGTTAGAAGCGTCTTCCTCAAGCATCATTACTTTCCCCTTGACTTCTTTGGCTTTCATTTCCAGTTCAGCCTTTTCCTTTTCAAGCCTGGTAATTTTTCCATTGCTTTCCGAAAGTTTTTCATTGTCGGACAAAGCTTGCTGCTTCACTTCACAAATTTGTCCACTTTGTGCTGCTTCTTGGTCTCTGGAGATGGTCAGCTGTAGAAAAAATCATTTGCTTTAACCAAGTCTAAATGCTATATCAACCAGTTATTTTTTTCATTCAGCTGATTGTATAACTTGCAAACTCAGAAAACATCCTACTTTAGTCTATCATCAAGCATCAAAGATGTAGGAAGTTCTAACAACTTGACGTCAAATTCTTCTTACCTCATTTTGTAGTTTCTGCACCATAATTTCATGATCCTCTTCCTGCTCTTGAACTAGCTCCTCCAAAGAGTCAATAATCGCTTGACTACTCAGCGAATCCGCCATCTTTTCTTCTCTTAATTTTCGATTTTCTTCTTTCAATGATTTCACTTCTTCATTAAGTACAAGTTCACGCTCAAGATAGTCCTCAATTTTCAATCGGAGCAGTTCTTTTTCTTCATCAGATTTGTTCTTAACAAGCTATTGAAAAAAGTAAAGATCTTTGTATTCATATGACTATAGCATCAAATTAATAATTGCACTAAAGCTACTTTTTCTTGAATTTGAAAATATAAAATAAAATGTGTATTATCCTTGAAAATAAAATGCATTGCGTAATGATGAATAAAAAATCAAAAGTGAATCCAATCTGTAATTGACTTCAAAATTAATTTATTTTTCAATTGTTTCAATTATTCAGCTTTTATTGAGCTACCATGACTAGAATGTCGCTTCTACTTTGCTCAATTTTCTTCTAAATTTGAACTCACCTTGAGGATGTTCGCAACACTCTCTCTTTTCAATTGAATTTTGTTTCCATCTTCTTCGATGGATATCCCAAAGTATTCTTGAATCAGTATTGTAAGGATCTGGTTCTCGACCAATTTTTGTTTCGTAAGTGTGGATCTCTCACGCTCCATCATGAGATCTTTCTTCAGCATAAATATCTAAGAATGAAATCAAATCAATACTTTAACTATCTCACCAAAATAATATTTATCGATTCTTAACTTTGATAAGATAGTTCTTTTCTATGAATGAAACTTCTCCAAAACTTTATAGTTTGCTTCAATTATCATGCCACTCGTTGTTAAAGTTCAATTTTTACATATTCTTTAATAGATATGATTATTTTTATGGTTTACTCTTTAATCATTATATAAACAATTGTTATTTATACTTAGAGAGTCATATGTGGATAATTTTTGATAAATACATGGGTTTTCTCTCTTTCTTTACTTTATTCTTTGCACCTTTCATTTGTAGCAGATTAAATTTACTAACCTTGAATGGATAGTCCTTGTCTGCTTCTTCTTTGATCTTCTCAAGCAGTGCATGGTTGATGCAGCGAAGGTTTTCCTTGTCTTTCTCAACCGTGTTCAGCTTTTCGCCTAACGCCTGCATATCCAGTCTTATTTTGGACAGCTCTCCTTTCACCTCAACGTACCCATTTTTCGGTCTCCTTCGACTTGTGTTCGACATTGCTGATTCTTATGTAAACAGCAATAGAAAATCTCTAAGTATCACTCGGAAGTTAGCTCTGATCGTATGCTCAGAACGGCACTTTAAATCAAGTGTTAAGTTGTATGGGAATTTTTCGCTTTTATTGCATTTTGATTTATTGTGACGTCATTTGATTCGTTTCCAATTAAATTTGACGTTACAATACAGTTTTTGAAGGCCTAAGCTCTTATTTCTAGGCAGGTAGAATTTTCCGTCGTCAATACAGTATATCCCTGCTTTTTCCTTTTTTTAAAATTTGTGTATCTGTTTGAAAATAATTGCGACGTGCTTATTGTTACTTTTAATTAGGGATAACCTGTTCTAACATCGTTTTACATGCTAGAAACCAAAGATTATATTGAGTTATTTCTTCATTAAACACTTTTTCGTAAATAAATTTTCTTAGTGTAATACACGTGTTTCAGCTGAAATGTTTTTCCCAGCAATTCCATCTAATGTTAGTTCACAAACTCTTTGTCCCGTCGGTTTGATTTTATTTTGGAGAGTCACTTTAGTTTTGGATGGCCAACTTTGCAGGGGTTTGTTCTGGTAAACGAATCGCGTGTCTTAACCATGTAAGTTGACGTTTTATGATTTTTTGCTCTATGGAGTTTTATCGGTTTGTTAGTAGAAATCATCATTTTTCATAATTTTGGATAAATTATGTTAAAGATGTATGTTCATAATAATCTCCTATGAAAACTGTCAGTTTTATTTTCAAATTATTTCGTTAATTTCCAGATTTCTGAAATGTATAGGAATATGGATGTAATGTAGGTGCTGAATGCCTTTAATTTTGTGCTGATGCTGCGGTTTTTGTTTTTAAGGATGTAAGTGTGTTCGTAGATTGAATAGCGAGATCTATTGATGTCATTTTCGGTAACTAGTACACTACCAAGCAGCTTGCACATTTTCTATTTATATTCGCATACATGGTCAAATATGCATCTCGAGATAGTAAAATTTTTCGGTTTTGCTGGTATTTATGGTCAAGTTGCGTTGCGAAAGAATTTCTGGTAGATCGTCTAATGTTCAGGGCCTATTTTAGTGTGGTTTTTCCCACATTTTGTGGTCTTGGAAATCCAAAATGTGATCTTGTAAATTCAAAATTATGGAATGGGTTTTTTCGTTTTAGCTTTATTTTTGTTATAAACATGTTTTTCTGTTGATAGCGTTTTGAAACTTTATAACGTAATAGAACAGTAAAAAACATCCATGAATCGTAGCGCAAGTTCCTTGGTCCAGATTAACCTTGTCCAACAAGAGTGAAAAGTGTTACAGCCAATCAGCTTTTTGCTCTCAAATGGTGTAAAAGCCAATCAGAGCTTGTAAAAGACCCCTGAATCTAGCAAAAATAACAACAATAGCGGCCAAACAGCCACCAAGCTGCGTGAAAATGCACTACAAACTTCGAACTGCTGCAAGCCAAAAAATCTCAAGGCAAAATAAGTCTATGACTTTTTCAATATGTAAGGGTCGCTCTAGATTTTTATCGTGCGCATTTTAGAATTTTCTTTAAATTTTTTAAAATTTCTTGGCTCAGCGTGTCCTTCAATATTAAAATAAGTATGAATAATAAAGCTTCTACCAATATTAACCTTCAACTACTGTTACTGTCGGAATCCATAAAGAATAGGCTATAATAGAAACATATCTATAATTGTGTTATGTTGAATATAAAGAAAAACGCTTTCTACGGCAACGGTCGATATTTTGAAATTCCATGTTTCACATAAGGCCTTCTTTTCTTAAAGTATGGTCTTGGAAAATTTCCATAAAATAGGCCCTGCTAATGTTATGCTTGTAACTTCGTTTGCATATTCTAATGTTATGAGATTTTCCTGTTGTTGTACGTGGTAACTATGTTCCCATAGTGAGGTAGAAAATGAATTATGTTGCACAGGCACAATCGCCTCAAGAGATACCTGTGTCTGTCTGAAAGAACTTCTTAATATTATCATTGCATTTCACAGCCAGTTGTACATCCACTAGGAATGATTGAATGAATCATTAGATGGAGTTCGTCTTTGGTAATGATGTTTTCAAGATCTTGAAGAAGTGTTGTTGTATTTACTAATTTACTGAGTCGAATGCTTTGCCCATATCGTGCATCGTTAGGTAAACGGTTTCGTTTTTTGATGTTATTGTCCTTTCTATGATTTATTTTGTTTTATTAGTGTTATTATTTTGAGTATGGACAACGGAATAATTGGTCTGAGATTTTGTTGGACCTGATTTTTGCCAGGTTTTTAAGCGGTTATAACAAACCTAGCATCAGCTCTTCTGGATGTTGACCGGTTTAAGCAATGTCATTGAATATTTCAGCAATGAGTATAACGTTTGGTGCATGTTTTAGATATTCGATTTTGATTTCGTCAATACCAGGACTTTTGTTATTTTTGATGTTGTGAACGGCATTTGATACTTCTTTGGCAGTAAAAGGTGTTCTCATCTTTTCTGAAAGCATGTTCAGGAGTGGTTCAGCATTTTTAATGAGCTGCGATTCAAAATACTTCGAAATTATTTTGCATTGTTGGACTTTGTTGGATGTTAAACCTTAGTTTGTTGCGACGAGTAATGATTTTTTTAGATTGAAACTTTTAATGGTCTTGTTATCTCCGTACATCCCTTGATGATCCAATCGTTCCGAATACTTTAAATATTTTTTATTACTTCATCTGTTCTGTTTTTATCACTCTTTTTTAGATCAAGTTGAATTTGCGAGAATGTTTGGTTGCGTTCTTTTCTAAGTTTATTGAATAGCTGTTTGTTGTTTGTTGCATGTTGATAGGTGCGAAGTTTTTTTAGCAGCCCTGCAAGTTGTTGTTTTTCAGGTTGTTGTCGTTAGTCATTGAGTGCATGGTGTTTTTTGGGAATTCAACATTGTAGATGTCTTCGTTAAGAACGAATTCCTCTGTTTTTCGAATAGTTTTAAGAAACATTTGAGCCCAAGTCTGCCATCAAATGTTTGATTTAAATACAGATTCGAGCTGTTAGGCTATTAATCTGACACTTGCCTATGTTTTATGTCCTTAACATGGTGTATTTTCCTGTTGTTATTGTATATGCTAATTTGTGATCAATTAGGATCTATAATAATCACAATTAATTAACTGTGATAAACAATACAATTTTTCTAACATCCATATGACAGAACACAGTAGGCCTAGAGTCGTTTTTGACTGGGATGGAGATAATAATGGAAACTTTTCATTTTGAATTCCTGTTAAAACTACAATTACAAATCTCACTATTACAAGGTAATTTGTAACTGGCTAGCCTGTGTTTACAAAATAAAAACTATTCCATCGTAGTAATGAGAAAAGAAAAAAATGTTAAAAGGGGAGTAGCTCTGGATTAGTCCAAGTTTTGTTTCTACAGCAGAATATATAGTATGTGGTGCGAATGGAGATGCTTGTAAGTTTGGAGATGAGGTAGCGTTTCTGTTGATGATCAATGGACAAAGAGTCACACATGTCGATGAATGAGCTGCAGGAGTCGCCAAAAATACCGAGTGAACTGATGGAAAGATTGACAAACGAGACTGACTTAAACTGACGTTTTAAGTCAGATACGAGGGTGGCATATTCCTCTAACTTTCTGACAGCATTGCAGTTGAGATTTGTTTCAAAGCCTATGGTTAGCCTTAAAACGTACAGACAGTTTTCCTTAGTTTTGAGAAGTAAGTTAGGGCGTAGTTGATCTCCAGTTATGATAGAAGGGGAAAGAAAGCCTGGTAAATCTGCGTAGAGAGAAGACCCATTTATTGCTTGGAAGGAAGTGGCTAGAAAGTTTAATGCAGAATTATGACGCCAAGTATAGCGGCCTTGGTCAAGGTACACTTTGCATCCAGCAACAACGTGTAGAAGTGTTTCTGGAAGAAGACAGAATTCACAGAATAATAATAAAATAATAATAAATAATAATAATAATAATAATAATAATAATAATAATAAGAAAGAAAGAAAGAAGAAAGAATAATAATAATAATAATGGAAACATTTCATTTTCAATTCAACTTAAACTACAACTACAAATCTCACTATTACAAGGTAATTTGCAATTGGCTAGCCTGGTTTTACAAGAAAAAGACTATTACAAGCACAAACAAAAGAAATTAACAAAAAAAAGGAAAAAGTATGTTCGTCATTGTTTGTTTTAGAAGTCGTCAGTAGCAGAGATCGTTAGAACTGAAGAAGTTCAGGATTATTCCAAGATTTATTTCTGCGGCAGAAAATGTAATAGGTAGTACGGATAGTTAAGTTGGATAGTTTGGAGATCATGAAGCGGAGATGATTCTCGCTGATATCTAGAGCGTTGCACATGTCGATGAAAGAGGAGCAAGAGAGACCAAAGATACCTAGGGAACTGATAGAAAGATTAACAAACATGATAGAGGAATAGGCTGAGCTTAGGCTGTGAATGAGATTCGAGTATTTCTCTCTTTTGCGGTTAGCATAATAATAATAATAATAATACTAATACAACTTATTTTAAGTTGGCGACTATAATAGCAGCAGTGCTAATTAAAGCAAACTATATAGAAAAAGAGCTTATTATATAAATATATTAATATTCTATATATTATTATTATAAAAAAATAAATACAAATAATACAACGCTCACTAGGTATAACCAAGGTTTGCTATAAATTTTTTACAAAGCTTGCAGTTGTATTTGTCTGTAGTCCATTTTTTGATGCGACCCTTAAAGATTTCTAGGGTGCGAGAATCTTTGGTTTCACTTGGTAACATCTGCCAAAGTCTGCTTCCAACATATCGTATGTTTTCTCTACCATGACAGTTGTATTTGCTCTTGGTACCAGAAAACCAAGGAGATTTTTAAGGGGAAGCTATCTACCATTGTTTAATGGCGTCTGTTGTTGGGATTTGCCTGTTACTTGAAGAGCGTTCGTTGTTTGAAGATATGTCCGTTGTTTGAATGTCTACAATTCTTCAAAATGGCAATTGCTTGAGGAAATAGTTTTTTGGAGGTTGTTTTGGTTCAGACTCAAGAAGTATCGGTTTTTGGATGGTGGTCGTGATCTTATGATGTTTTTATTATGCTTAAATGAAATACTTTTTGCTAAAATGATTTCTGCGTTCTACATTTGCGTACACCTGATGAACTGTAAAACTTCAGAATTGGATATGGTGAAACTAAACTATTCGTAATAAGCACTTTCTAAGATGCTCGAATAACCATAGAAATAACGCAACTACATGTACTTGACGTTCGATACTTATAGAAAAAAATCTGAGATATTTATTAAAGGGTAAACGGAAATTGATTTGCGGTGAAATTTTTGAAATTCTTCGCATACTTAATTTTATGTAAAATTTATTACTGCACATTTTGATGAAATTTTTATTTCTATCTTTAGTCTATCAAATTTCTTTGTCATTCTCCAGAAATTTTAGAAATTAGAAGTTTTTAGAAGTTGCGTAAAATTTGCCCCAACTTACTACAAATGATCATTTCACTACACTTATCTGCTAATTTGACTGCACAAAACCTTTTTTTTGCTCCAGCAAGTGGTTATGACTGCACCTAAAAGTTAGATGTGATTATTTGCTTGCACGTAAGGGCTTTGTCATTGAGCTGATTCTGTCCGGATCTCTTTGAGATATGAACAATTGGACTATGACTAGAAACTGAAGAGTCCTATACCCAACAACTATACCCAAAGCCCTGTAAATATGCTGTATGCCATTAATCCGTAAAAGCTGTTGTGATTCAATCAATCTTGCTAGGTGTCCACAAACGAAGCCGAGGCCTTGCTAGTTGTGGTTGAACAAAATAGTTTGTAGATTCAGTAAACTTTCTTATGTGCTGTATACTGAAACGAATTTTGGTCACTACTTACTGAATTGTAGACCAGTATAGAAGGCCCCCGAGAGGATTCAGAGGCCCTGAAGCAAAACGGTAATATGAGGTCCCCTGCAAGTGGTGTTTGCAGAAAATTTTTGCAACCTAGCCCTTCAAATAAGCTTAAAATCCGTTTCAAAATTTATTCCAAGACATTTTCTTGCAATCGTTCGAAACATTAATACCACTTTTAGCAATACTCTTGCTACGTTTAATAAATTCTATTCTTTAAATGGACTTCGTTCCTTTATGAGGCCCCCTGGACCTCGAGGCCCCTTTGCCCCGCTCTCGGCAGCTTTGCCAACACATATGGTTCTTTTGTCCAAATGATGCACCATATTTTCAACTAAAAAATTTCATAAATCCGGTATGCGACGTTTGCATTTAATGGCTCCTCCCCAATTACTTACGTCCCTGAGTACAGTTTCGTCATGATGACATTCAGCTAGGCATTGATATTACAAAGGCGCTTTAAGAGTTTTTTACATTGTAACACCAGTATAAAGCATTGATTTCCTAAAGGACAAACGTCCTTTCTGATCTTCAGTTTTTAGCTTTGTTGTTAATAGCAACGAGATGCAATTCTGGGTGGAAATTTAAAATTTGGAGACAGTTGTTCCACCTTTTTCTTGCTTTTTTAAAATTTTGTGGTTCCAAAGATATCCCAGGATGCATCTTGCTACTGTGGATTTTAACCTGTGCAATCTCAAAATCTTTTTAATTTTGAACAAATGGAAAACAGCGACCATAAGAGAGGACACACCAATTTGAGTTAATACTGACACACTTATAGATGCCATAATAAATAGCTGGACAGAATAAAAAGACATTTTCTTCGTAAATAAACAAATATAATTTATCAAATCCTGATGTTACATCATGGTAAAAATATAATTTTTTATCACTTTGAGAAAAATGTTTATTCATGTACAAGACACAAGTTTCTTCCACCATCGCCTGGTCTTCGCTTTATGAAGACTCTGGTTAAGTTGATGGATGACGTCATTTAGCTCGTTATTCTCATCACGCACCACACGTAGCTCTTCTTCAAGCAAAAACTTTGAATTCTTTTCCTTCTCTCCTTCTTGGTTCGACTCATTCAGTTGTTGTATGAGCATCTGGTTTTCACTCTCAAGCTCATTGATTTTATCTCTCTGCTCTTTTTTCTTCGACTTCAATGAGGCAATATCTGATTTCATTGCAAGACTATAATCCAGATGTTTTTGATACTCTACAATCATTGTCTTTAGCAATTTGTTCTTCTCTTCTTCAAGCGTTTTATTCTGGAAGTTGAAATAAAAGTAATGTGTAAATAATAAATTACTTTGAAACAGTTTTTCTCTAGAATTTACTGTATCAGAATCATCAGATTGCCTCTTATTGAGTTTGGCAAGTAGGAGGCGTGGGATACGTATTATGCGATTATTCTGCTTGCCACAATGATTGTTTGATTTGCTTGTCACTCTATAAATCAACGAAGAAATAATTCACACGAATATTTGAAGAAGGGGTAAGAGAAATAATTGCAATGTAACTGAATATAGTTGAGATGTATCTCAATGCCTAATAAAAGCCGTTCATAAATCTAAAACTATAGCACTTATATTTTTCAATACTCTATGTTTTAAATTTGCTACGCCAATGTATACGCTGGTTTTTAAGAAGGTATTTCCTACAATAGTTCAATAAGTTGGCTGGAGACTATGCATTTATAAGAAAAACAAAGGTGTTCATATCCAGTCAACAAGCTATAACTCAACTTACGTTTCCTTCCATGACCGATAGCTTCGACTCTAAGTCTTCAGCTTGTTTCTTCCAACAGCTCATTTCTGAAGTCATTTCCATCAAATTTGAGGATGCTTCTTTGTAGTTATCGCCTGCCTCTTTAAGGCTCTGCTGAGTCGCCCTGAGCTGTTGTTTGGTGCTTTCGACCTCATTCTCTAGAAGAACTGTCGCTTGCTGCAGCTTTTCAGCTCTGTGTTCTTTCTCGGATAGCTGTAGCATGATTAGTTTCTCTTGTTGCTCCGTCTCTAAAAGCTAAGAATTAGTTGCAAAATTAACAACTGCTATATATTGTATTTGGACAAAATTAAGGCCATGACAGAGCGTTGCAGTTGGCACTTAATCTAAAATGTGTATCGATATCGATACTCGATACTTGTTCTTATGTAATCTGCTGAATTCTTTTGGAATTTGTACCAATGAAGGTGAACATACATTTGATTGCCAACGGAACATGTCCTAATGTTTTTCCTGGCATATCTTGGTTTCTCATCATATCACAAATGTAACTTGCTTTAACCAACGCTTATCTTGAGTATTCTTTACTCAAATCTAACCCGAGAAATCTTTTTTCCCTTGTTTGATATTTGTGTATATGAAAGAAACAATTTTCTATTTTGGGGCATAAGAAATTAAGGTATTGCCTCAAAGCATTTCCACTTATTTGTTTTGTCAAATTCAAAAACAACTGTGACAATCTTTGCTTAAGTAGCCATACGTTGTAATGTGTGCTTACCATCTTTGTTATTGAAAGACATCTATCCCCAGATTCTTCAGCTCTTGTTCTCCATTCTGCCACTTCGTTGGACAGTTCCTTCAATTTTGCCAAATTGTTAGAAACATCTTCCTCAAGCATCATTACTTTCCCCTTGACTTCTTTGGCTTTCATTTCCAGTTCAGCCTTTTCCTTTTCAAGCCTGGTAATTTTTCCATTGCTTTCCGAAAGTTTTTCATTGGCGGACAAAGCTTGCTGCTTCACTTCACAAATTTGTCCACTTTGTGCTGCTTCTTGCTCTCTGGCGATGCTCAGCTGTAAAGAAATTCATTTGCTTTAACCAAATTTAAATGGGATATCAACCAGTTATCTTTTTCTTTCAGCTGATTGTATAACTTGCAAACTCAGAAAACATCCTACTTTAGTCTATCATCAAGCATCAAAGACATGAGAAGTTCTAACAACTTAACATCAAATTCTTCTTACCATATTTTGTAGTTTCTGCACCATAATTTCATGATCCTCTTCCTGATCTTGAACTAGCTCCTCCAAAGAGTCAATAATCGCTTGACTACTCAGCGATTCCGCCATCTTTTCTTCTCTTAATTTTCGATTTTCTTCTTTCAATGATTTCACTTCTTCATTAAGTACAAGTTCACGCTCAAGATAGTCCTCAATTTTCAATCGGAGCAGTTCTTTTTCTTCATCACATTTGTTCTTAACAAGCTATTGAAAAAAGTAAAGACCTTTGTATTCATATAACTATAGCATCGAATTAATAATCGCATTAAAGCTACTCTTTCTTGAATTTGAAAATATAAAATAAAATGTGTATTATCCTTGAAAATAAAATGTAAACCATGAATGCATTGCGTAATGATAAATATAAATCAAAAGTGCATTCATTCGGTAGTTGACTTCAAAATTAATTTATTTTTCAAATTATTGAGCAATCATAAATAGAATGTCGCTTCTACTTTGCTTCTAAATTTGAACTCACCTTAAGGATGTTCACAACAGTCTCTCTTTTCAATGGAGTTTTGCTTCCATCTTCTTCAATGGATATCCCAAAGTATTCTTGAATCAGTATTGTAAGGATCTGGTTCTCGACCAATTTTTGTTTCGTAAGTGTGGATCTCTCACGCTCCATCATGAGATCTTTCTTCAGCAGAAATATCTAAGAATGAAATCAAATCAATACTTTAACGATTCATAATATTTATCGATTCATAACTTTGATGAGATAGTTCTCTTCTATGAATGAAAATTCTCCAAAACTTTATAGTTTGCTTCAATTATCATGCCACTCGTTGTTAAAGTTCAATTTCTACATATTCTTTAATATTTCTTTTAAATGCCTGTAAATTATTTTCTTGGTTTACCTGTCCATCATTATTTAAACAATTATTATTTGTACTTAGAGAGTCACACTTTTCATTTGTGGCAGATAAAAAGTTACTAACCTTGAATGGATAGTCCTTGTCTGCTTCTTCTTTGATCTTTTCAAGCAGTGCATGGTTGATGCAGCGAAGGTTTTCCTTGTCTTTCTCAACCGTGTTCAGCTTTCCGCCTAACGCCAGCATATCCAGTCTTATTTTGGACAGCTCTCCTTTCACCTCAACGTACCCATTTTTCGGTCTTCTTCGACTTGTGTTCGACATTGCTGATTCTTGTGTAAACAGCAATAGAAAATCTCTTAGTATCACTCGGAAGTTAGCTCTGATCGTATGCTCAGAACGGCACTTTAAATCAAGTGTGAAGTTGTATGGGAATTTTTCGCTTTTATTGCATTTTGATTTATTGTGACGTCATTTGATTGGTTTCCAATCAAATTTGACGTTACAATACAGTTTTTGAAGGCCTAAGCTCTTACTTCTAGGCAGGTAGAATTTTCCGTCGTCAATACAGTATATCCCTGCTTTTTCCTTTTTTTAAAATTTGTGTATCTGTTTGAAAATAATTGCGACAAGCTTATTGTTACTTTTACTAGGGATAACCTGTTCTAACATCGTTTTACATGCTAGAAACCAAAGATTATAATGAGTTATTTCTTCATTAAACAATTTTTTCGTAAATAAATTTGCTTAGTGTAATACATGCTTTCAGTTGAAATGTTTTTCCCAGCAAGTCCATCTTGTGTTAGTTCACAAACTCTTTGTCCCGTCGGTTTGATTTTATTTTGGAGAGGCACTTTAGTTTTGGATGGCCTCTTGGTCTTGAATAGTTTTGTTATAAAGCTAGCTTTTCAGGGGTTTGTTCTGGTAAACGAAACGCGTTCCTTAGCCATGTAAGTTGACGTTTTATGGAAAACAGAATAGTTGGTCTGAGATTTTGGTGGACCTGATTTTTGCTAGATTTTTAAGCGGGTATAGCAAACCTAGCATCAACTCTTCTGGGTGTTGACCAGTTTAAGCAATGTCATTGAATATTTCAGCTATGAGTATAACGATTGGAGCATGTTTTAGATTTTCAACTGTGATTTCGTCAATACCAGGACTTTTGTTATTTTTAATGTTGTGAAGGGCATTTGATACTTCTTTGGCAGTAAAAGGTGTTTTCATCTTTTCTGAAAGCATGTTCAGGCGTGGTTCAGCATCTTTAAAGAACTGCGATTCAAAATACTTTGAAATTGTTTTGCATTGTTTGATGTTAAACCTTAGTTTGTTGCGACGAGTAATGATTTTTTATATTGAACTTTTGAAGGTCTTGTTTGCTCCGTACATCCCTTGATGATTCAATCGTTGCGAGCACTTTAGATATTTTTTATTCTTCATCTGTTCTGTTTGTATCACTCTTTTTTAGATCAAGGTTAATTTGCGAGAGTGTTCTTTTCTAAGTTTATTGGATAGCTGTTTGTTGTTTGTTGCATGTTGATAGGCGCGAAGTTGTTTTAGCTGCCCTGTGAGTTGTCATTTTTTTTCAGGTTGTTGTTGTTAGTTATTGAGTGCATGGTGTTTTTTGGGCATTCAACATTGTAGACCTCTTTGTTAAGGACGAATTCCTCTGTTTTTCAAATAGTTTTAAAAAGCATTTGAGCCCAAGTCTGCCATCAAATGTTTGATTAAAATACAGATTCGAGCTGTTAGGCCATTAATCTGACATTTGCCTATGTTTTATGTCCTTAACATGGTGTATTTTCCTATTGTTATTGTACATGCTAATTTGTGATCAATTAGGAGCTATAATAATCACAATTAATTAACTGTGATAAACAATACAAATTTTCTAACATCCATATGACAGAACACAGTAGGCCTAGAGTCGTTTTTGACTGGGATGGAGATAATAATAATAATAATGATAATAATAATAATAATAATAATAATACAATTTATTTTCAATTGGCGACTTCACTAGCAGCAGTGCTAATTAAAGCCAACTATATACAAAAGGAGCCTATTAACATAGATTATAAAATCTAAAAATATAAATACAAATAATACAATGCTTACTAGATGTAGCCAAGGTTTGCTATAAATGTTTTTCCAAGCTTGCAATTACGTTTGTCTGTAGTTCATTCTTTGATGCGACCCTTAAAGATTTCTAGAGTGGGAGACTCTTTGGTTTCACTTGGTAACGTCTGCCAAAGTCTGCTTCCAACATATCTTATGTTTTCTTCCAACATACTGAAACGAATTTTGGTCACTACTTACTGAATTGTAGACCAGTATACAAGGCCCCCGAAAGGATTCAGAGGCCCTGGAGCAAAACGGTAATAGGAGGCCCCCTGCGAGCGGTGCGTGCTAAAAACTTTTGCAACATAGCACTTCAAATAAGCTCAAAACAATTTCAAAATATATCCCAAGTCATTTTCTTGCAATCGTTTGAAACATTAATACCACTTTAAGAAATACTTTTGCTACGTTTGATAATTTCTATTCTTTAAATGGATTTCGCTCCTTTATGAGGCCCCCTAGACCACGAGGCCCCGATGCCCCGCTCTCGGCAGCTTTGTCAGCACATATGGTTGTTTTGTCTAATCGATGCACCATATTTCCGAACAAAAGATTTCATAAATCCGGTATGCGCCGTTCGCAATCAATGGCTCCTCCCCAACTACTTACGTCCCTGAGTACAGTTTCGTCATTATGACATTCAGCTAGGCGTTGATATATTGCAAAGGCGCTTTTAGATTTTTTTTTATCTTGTAATTCCAGTGTAAAGCCTTCATCCACTAAAGGATAACCGTCCTTTCTGATCTTCAGTTTTTTGCCTTGTTGTTAATAGCAACGAGATGCAATTCTGTATGGAATGTTTATTTTGGAGACAGTTGTTCCACCTTTTTCTTGCTATTTTAAAATTTTGTGGTACCAAAAATATATCAGGATGCATCTTGCTACTGTGGATTTTAACCTGTGCAATCTGATCTGAAAATTATCTTGATTTTGAACAAATGGAAAACAGCGACCATAAGGGAGGACACACCCTTTATAATTCGATTAAGTACTGACACACTTATAGGTGCCATATTAAATAGCTGGAGACAATAAAAAGACATTTACTTCTCGTAAATCAACCAATATAATTTATCAAATCGTAAGGTTACATCATGGTAAAAAATATAATTTTTTATGTATATAGACGTCTCTATCAGTTTCAGAAAAATGTTTATTTATGAACAAGACACAAGTTTCTTCCACCATCGCCTGTTCTTCGCTTTATAAAGACTCTGATTAAGTTGATGGATGACGTCATTCAGCTCGTTATTCTCATCGTGCACCACACGTAGCTCTTCTTCCAGAACAAACTTTGAGTTCTTTTCCTTCTCGTCTTCTTCGTTTGACTCTTTAAGCTGTTGCAAGAGCACCTGGTTTTCACTCTCAAGATCATTGATTTTATCTCTCTGCTCTTTTTTCTTCGACTTCAATGAGGCAATTCTGATTTCATTGCAAGACTATGATCCAGATGCTTCTGATACTCCACAATCATTGCCTTCAATAGTGTATGCTTCTCTTCTTCAAGCATTTTGTTCTTCAAGGTTGAATAACAGTGCATTTGAGACAATACAAGAACTATCAATTTACTGTGATTTACAAACTTTCTTTACTGTATCAGAAACATCAGATTGCTGATTACTGAATCAGTTTGGCAAGTAGGAGGCGTGAGGCACGTATTATGTTAATGCCCGCCACACTATGAATCAAAAAAGAAATAATATACACTAAGATTTGAAGAAGGGGTAAAGAACATTGTAGAGATGTATGAAAGCAGATCGTATATCTAAAACTATAGCACTTATCATTTTCAATACTCTATGTTTTAAATTTACTACGCCAATGTGTACGCTGGTTTTTAAGAAGGTATTTCCTGCAATAATTCAAGTGGTTTGCTTGAGACTATGCATTTGTTAGAAAAAAACAAAGGTGTTAATATCCAGTCAACAAGCTATAATCCAACTTACGTTTCCTTCCATGACCAATAGCTTCGACTCTAAGTCTTCAGCTTGTGTCTTCCAACAGCTCATTTCAGAAGTCATTTCCATCAAATTTGAGGATGCTTCTTTGTAGTTATCGCCTGCCTCTTCAAGGCTTTGCTGGGTCGCCCTGAGCTGTTGTTTGGTGCTTTCGACCTCATTCTCTAGAAGAACTGTCGCTTGCTGCAGCTTTTCAGCTCTGTGTTCTTTCTCGGATAGCTGTAGCATGATTAGTTTCTCTTGTTGCTCCGTCTCTAAAATCTAAGAATTAGTTGCAAAATAAACAACTGCTATATATTGTATTTGGAAAAAATTAAGGCAATGACAGAGCGTTGCAGTTGGCACTTAATCTAAAATGTGTATCGATATCGATACTCGATACTTGTTCTTATGTAATCTGCTGAATTCTTTTAGAATTTGTACCAATGAAGGTGAACATACATTTGATTGCCAACGGAACATGTCCTAATGTTTTTCCTGGCATATCTTGGTTTCTCATCATATCACATATGTAACTTGCTTTAACCAACGCTTATCTCGAGTATTCTTTACTCAAATCTAACCCGAGAAATCTTTTTTCCCTTGTTTGATATTTGTGTATATGCAAGAAACAATTTTCTATTTTGGGGCATAAGAAATAAAAGTATTGCCTCAAAACATTTCCACTTATTTGTTTTGCCAAATTCAAAAACAACTGTGACAATCTTTGCTTAAGTAGCCATACGTTGTAATGGAGTGTTATTAAGTGGCTTACCTTCTTCGTTAGTGACAAACATCTATCCCCAGATTCTTCAGCTCTTGTTCTCCACTCTGCCACTTCGTTGGACAGTTCCTTCAATTTTGCCAAATTGTTAGAAGCGTCTTCCTCAAGCATCATTACTTTCCCCTTGACTTCTTTGGCTTTCATTTCCAGTTCAGCCTTTTCTTTTTCAATTGTGTTAATCTTTGCATTGCTTTCCGAAAGTTTTTCATTGGCGGACAAAGCTTGCTGCTTCACTTCACAAATTTGTCCACTTTGTGCTGCTTCTTGGTCTCTGGAGATGGTCAACTGTAGAAAAAATCATTTGCTTTAACCAAGTCTAAATGCTATATCAACCAGTTATTTTTTTCATTCAGCTGATTGTATAACTTGCAAACTCCGAATACAGCCTTCTTTATTCTATCATCAAGCAACAAAGACATGAGAAGTTCTAACAACTTGACATCAAGTTCTTCTTACCTCATTTTGTAGTTTCTGCACCATAATTTCATGATCCTCTTTCTGCTCTTGAACTAGCTCCTCCAAAGATTCAATTATCGCTTGACTGCTTAGCGACTCCGCCATCTTCTCTTCTCTTAAGTTTCGATTTTCTTCTTTCAGTGATTTCACTTCTTCATTAAGGACAAGTTCACGCTCAAGGTAGTCCTCAATTTTCATTCCGAGCAGTTCTTTCTCTTCATCACATTTGTTCTTAACAAGCTATTTAAAAAAGTAAAAACTTTTGTATTGATAAATTATAGCATCGAATTAATAATTGCACTAAAGCTTCTCTTTCTTTAATTTGAAAATATAAAATGAAATGTGGATTATATATAATATTTATATATAATTGCAGTTACGCAGTCCCGACATGAAGGTTTCATGTTGTTTCTTCTTCTGCAGCTCTGCACACTACTTCTGATAATCTTCTCCATTCTTTGCGGTCCCTTGCTGTGGATCGTATCTTTTCAAAATCTCCATTGTTCTTTATGTTCTATTATGAAATGTGGATTATCCTTGAAAATAAAATGTAAACCTTGAATGCAATCCGTTATGATAAATATAAATCAAAGGTGAATCCAATCCGTAGCTGACTTCAAAATTAATTTATTTTTCAATTGTTTCAATTATTCAGCATTTATTTAGCTAACGTGACTAGAATGTCGCTTCTACTTTGCTCAATTTTCTTCTAAATTTGAACTCACCTTAAGGATGTTCACAACACTCTCTCTTTTTAATGGAGTTTTGCTTCCATCTTCTTCAATGGATATTCCAAAGTATTCTTGAATCAGTATTGTAAGGATCTGGTTTTCGACCAATTTTTGCTCTGAAAGTGTGAATCTCTCACGCTCCATCATGAGATCTCTTTTCAGCTGAAATATCTAGAAATGAAATTAAATCAATTTTTTAAAAATATCAGCAATATTTATAACAACTTGACTTTTATACAAATGTAGATAGTTTTCTATAATATATACTCCTCTAGCAATTTATAATTTGCTTCAATTATCCTGCCACTTGTTATTTTTTTATGTCTACATATTCAATCTTTATCAGGAAATATTTCTTTTAAATGCCTGTAAATTATTTTCTTGGTTTACCTGTCCATCATTATTTAAACAATTATTATTTGTACTTAGAGAGTCACATTTGGATAAGATATGATACATTAGAAAATAAATTTGTGTTTTCCCCTTTTTCTATTTTATTCTACACATCTTTCATTTGTGGCAGATTAAATTCACTAACCTTGAATGGATAGTCCTTGTCTGCTTCTTCTTTGATCTTTTCAAGCAGTGCATGGTTGATGCAGCGAAGGTTTTCCTTGTCTCTCTCAACCGTGTTCAGCTTTTCGCCTAACGCCTGCATATCCAGTCTTATTTTGGACAGCTCGCCTTTCACCTCAACGTACCCAGTTTTCGGCCTCCTTCGACTTGTGTTCGACATTGCTGATTCTTATGTAAACAGCAATAGAAAATCTCGTAGTATCACTCGGTAGTTAGCTCTGATTGTAAACTCAGAACGGCACAAGTGTGAAGTTGTATTGGGGTTTTTCGCTTTTATTGCATTTTGATTTATTGTGACGTCACTTTATTGGTTTCCAATCAAATTTGACGTTGCAATAGAGTTTTTGAAGGCCTAAGCTCTTACTTCTAGGCAGGTAGAATTTTTCCGTCGCCAATACAGTATATCTTTGCTATTTTTACAAAAATTATGTATTTGCTTGAAAATATTTACATTATGCTTTTGCTACTTTTATATAAATTTATCTAGTATTATTGATGCAGAAATTATCGTTTTAGCATATTGAAATATATAGCACCTAACTTAACGATAAAAACCTGATGAAAAAACTATGGTCCTATAAAACGTAATATTTGCTCTTCTTCCAGAGAGTTGTGTTGTGTTCCAGAGAGTCTAGCTCTTCAGGCGTGCTTAGGTCGTTTTTTTAAAACGACAAAGTGTCGGTAGCTCACGAATGTCCGCAGGTGTATCATTCCATAATTCGGGAGCTTCGTAGTATTTCTAGAGATCTGGAAATCTTAACAGAGCCTCGTATTTAAGATCGAATGAGAAATCTCGTTTGGTTTTTGCAGAGTCATGAAATCATTACGGCCCCATGGCCACTGACCGGAGGAAGGTTGTAGAAACAAAAATAAATTGAGGAAGGTGACAAAAACTTTTGGAAACTTGAGGAAGTTGAAGAAATCGGATTGTCTTTTGGTTTTCAAAATACGGTCTGACAAAAATAGAAACAATCAAATTATATTTATAAACCTCCTTTTTTTTCAATATGAATGTGTTTGCATACCTGTTTTGCACTTTAAAATTAAGGCATTAAATTTTTATAGTTAATGAAGTAAAATTTTATTGTTAATTGATAAAATCATGTAGCTTTATGTGTCTCAGGAAACAAGCAACAAATTTTTAAAACATTTTGGAAAAGCAGACTTGCAAGTAGAGGAAATCAAGGCTAGTTAAATACCCCCAATCTCCTGACCACGCCCTTTTTAAAACCCCATCAAAAATGAGGAGGGTTTTAAAGTAAGATTTTCTTGGCCAGAGGAAGGTTGACAACTTCTCTGGACTCTAAGTTTTTGTCCGAGAGCCTTTAAGAGCATGGTCTGTTCATAATCTTAAACGTCTTGACATTCCGATCCTAATTGAAAATATTTTATACCTTCAACCAGCAAGTCGACCTTCAATTTTTCATTCTCGCGTTTGCTATTACCAAATTGGCCCGGTCTTGGAGCAACTAGTTTTCTGAGAGGCCACCCCAGATAGCATCAGAATAGTGCAGTTTGGCAACTAACGAATAATGTACATTGCACATTCTTGTTAGAGCTTCAAGACCACTTTTAAATTTGTTTTTGTGTGCTCATTTTGATTTAATGTTAACTGCTCATCCAAATTAAGTTTTTTCATCAACCTTCTCTCCAAAAGGTGTCCGTTGTCCGAAGAAATCCTCTGTTATGAGATGTCCGTTGCTTATTGTTGTCTGTCCTTTTGGGTATGTGTATTGTCTTGAGATGTCCGTTCTTTGAAGATGTCCGTTGTTTGGAAGGTGTCCGTTCCTTTTTATCCCTTTTAGCATCTTCACAAAGTCGCTAGTACTGTTTAAGTCGCTAGTACGTTTTAGCATCTTCATTAATCTTCATTACTGTATTGCCGACAAATTTTAATGATCACATACTGTCACCTGATCCCCAACCATGCTTAGATTTGCCATGTAAAAGAATAGCAAAATAAACTATAGATTAGACTCTTGGTTTGGGCTGAAATTTTACTTGTAATCGGCCACTTATATGCCTACGGATAGTGTTCCCTCTTCGTCTCCGGATGGTTTTTGAGTTTCGAAACAGAGTGTCTGGAAATAGTTTCCGTATTCATTTCATTTTATCATATTTATACACAGAAACCATACCAGCTACTAAGTTAAAAAAGAAAAAGTGAAGATTAATTTATATATAATGCTGGTCTTTCTAGGGATCGTGCTTCGGGAAAGGATGCTAATTTTGCAGGGATTCCTTTAATTTTTTGAGCGTGGTAATCCGTATAGATATCGCCAGTTATATATCACTTAGAACTATATCTTTAGTAAAAATGTGCCTATTTGTCTCTTTTCCATAAGTAAGAAACCCCACTCATAGCTGCATCTTCGTCCTCTACATTTTTTAAATAACACAAGTGAAGCATTTTAAGAAGTTTATGGTGCTTTTAAAGTGACTTGATTCTTTGCTAATGTAGTTTTTATCTGACATTATGCTTCCTCTATCCATTTGCAGCATTGATAAATCTTCCCCGGATAAGGAGGGGGGAGCAATTTTCGAAATTTAGACAAAGATGTGTTTGACTTGGACTCAATTTGTGCTTGATTTCAAGTATTAAGGGTTTTTCGAAAACTCGTACTACCCGTCCACCCTTTAATATAGGTCCTGCTATGCCCCTGCATAAAATGTTCTGATTGGCATAAGAAAAGATTGTCCGAAATCTTTCCTCTATCTGCGGAAAACATTAGGCGTCTGGAAGTCTTCAAAATCATCTAAAAATACATACTTGTTACGTATGAACAAATATCGCAAGATGTATTTTTTAAATTTGTGGCACATCCCCCTTACAGATACCAGCCCTTTGATAACAACATTTTACTATCACTAGATGCCTCAGTAATCTCCCTAATGTCTTTTTCCTATACCCCTTTTTAGGAGTAACTATGATAAACACTTTTTTCTACATGAAGTGTTGTAATCGTTGAAAACCGTGAGTATTCTGCTGATGTGACCAAACTCCCCCTCCGGCCTTTGAACTAATATTCAAAGTCATAACATTGTGTTTAAGGTTTAGGGTGATAACCAATAAGCAGTCTGGTTGACAAACAAAACTCAGTTACAGATCAAATAATCCAAATACTACGTCAACTAACGGATTTAACAAATTTGGTTTACGAAGCAATGAGTCAACTTGAATGGGATAAAAATATTTACCGAGCTTATTTGTATGTAGGCTCTATGGAGGAAGGAACAAAACCCAAAAGAGTAAAATATGCAGTGACGAACTTGAAAGGAAATATGTCTTGTTTTGTATTAGATTAAGGGAAACCTGTGCCAAATTTTAGGCATATTTTTATGCAATTCTCGTTGGATCAAGAATTTGAATATGGATTATGATTTCTTTAATCCAAAGGTCTCTAATTAGAAAGTATAAGGGCAACAAGTTGAACAATCGATAGCATCGTGCAAAACTGTTATGAAGATGGACGGTTTATGAATGGTGTTTATCATTTGATTGTCAATAACATGAAATGTTAGCAACTACCCTCAACAATCATCTTTGGAAAGCTGGTTGGATTTCGTCCCTTTTTGCTGATGACGATGTTGTTCCCCTTTGTTTATCTAGCGATCAAGCTTGATTGCTTTCCAGGACTTTGCAGGATTTCTTGCCTGGTTTCTGAAGGTTTTTTTTCAAATCAGTGTTGGTTACGTTAGTGAAAGAAGATATGTCATGAGCGAAAGACTAAAGGCTGAACAACGTTTGCAGTTGAAGCGTTGGAGATTATTTCCATTTCTGATCGGGTCATTCTCTTTTAAAAATCTCAACCGAGAGAATCTTGCTATGTAAGAAAAACTTAGTTTAACTGAGAATTTGATACGAAAGTTCAAAAGCTGGTTGCCTATGAATTCTTGTGTTGATGTTTGATATGTATCTTACTACGAAGATTGGCTATAACAAAAATTAACGCACAGAAATATGTGAATGAAACCATATCCAGTTATCTAGATTAAGCTGCTGTTGTTATGAAGAAATCCATTGGTATTTGCAAAACACATAAACCCCCAATCAATACCCAGATCCAGAAATCACGCCAAAGACTGACCCAGATTGGTCTCATAACTTCTGCAGAGATGGTACTCCCCCTCCACTACACAGTCTATCCTGTTTGTGAAACATTTGTCTTTGTTCCAATTGAATTATGTGCCCAAATAATTTTCTCAGTGTTTTATGAAAAGTCCTTTAAATTAAGGTCTAGATTGCGGTAAATTCAGCCCACTCATTCAACTACTGACACGGCAATGAAAGAGTGCCTTAGGGGTTAATCCTAAGCAGAGAAAATCTAGTCATTCCAGACAAGCACAGACAAATCGATCTTTAAAATGTAGCCTACTTCCTATAGAAACCTTTTATAGGAACAAAGGTGTTGTTTAAGCAACCTTATTGTCCTTCAAAGTGTGATTAGACGAAAACGAGGCCGAGAAAAACAGGATAAAGGCAAAGAAAAAAACGGATTACGAATGATTATTTGATAGTGATATTAATGTATTCGATAAATATTTAGGAATGTAGGATGGATTTACATCATTGCGATCGTTTTTCAGCAAATGAGGAGTTTTCTTTTGTGGATGGTGCAATTTTGCACTCCTACTCGGTCTTTGACAACAGTAAAACTTGGGGCCAGGATTTGAACTTGTCCAGGAGGAAGGTGTGGGGAAAATGCTGGCCTAACTCACTCTTTACTCACCCATTATTATGCTCAAGATGTTCGTGCTATATTAGAAAGCTTGAAAGGCCACAATCTCGAACACAATCTTAATGATCTGCCCACGTTGCAGAATCCGTTTCCAAACTATATTAACTAAAAAGATTTTCAAACGATGGCTGAAGCTTAACTATAATTTCCTCTCATAAAACGCGTGCAACTCTCTAACTCTCTCTCCCTAACTAACCACGTGCTCTCGCGTCACGGGTAACAGAACAAAACGCTATTTTCTACAGAAGGAACACATAGTAATAAAAGATTGGCCATCAAAAGTCGAAAGTGGGACTGAAATTGAAGAGTGGGGATCCCATTGTTCTCTTATCCCCTTGGCTCTCTTCTTCTATGGTCCCCCGGCCTTTTGACTCCCAGGTGTAATGGTTTTCTGGTCCCATGCCTTCTTGGCCCCATGGATTCATAGGCCTTTGGGGCCCTGACTCTATGGCTGCTTAGCCCAAAGCTCATTGATCTCTTGGGTGCCTAGCTCCATGACTTTCAGTCTACAGTGCTCTCTAGCCCCTTGGCTTTCTCGTCATTTCTTCGATACCCAAGTTTACCCTATGAGACTTCTTTTGGTTTATTAACACATGTTTGGTAATCAAATTGACAAAATCTCTTCATCTGCTACTTCAATTATGTAAGTGTTATCTTGTTCCATAAAGGCACATTTGATAGGTTCCCATGTACACAAGATCATATCAGAAAATCCTTCGAAAGTTAACTGCTCGCAACGTGTTGTGGTCGATTTTATTTCGAAAGATTTCATTTGTTTTCGACACAGATCAACTTATTAATAGCCTGATAATGGCTAGAGCCCAGATTCTGTGATAGTTGCCATGTGTCTGCTTCAATTAACGTAGTTGCTGTCAAACTTACTGAGGAAAGTGACTTTTGAATTAATGCAGTGCGATCATTAAGATAAGAATAACCAGTGTCCAAATAAACAATACTATAGAATGAGAAGCATAGTTATCGAAAGTTTTCAGTCTAAAATGTGATAATTATGATGGGAAAAAAGTTTGTTCAAATCGATATGCATTTTTTTGATAAGAAAATTGATTGTAGAACCAGTAAGATGTGCCAATTCTTCCATTATCACCATCAAAACCTTTCGAAACAAAAAAACTATTAACCCCATAAGTAGCAAACCAAAAGAGGATTCTGAATTCGTGTTTTTTAATTTACCAGATGGAATACATTTAAAATGGAAAAATGAATTTAGATAGAACAGTTATAAAAGATGAATATGTAACTTATCTTGCTCTTTTACCAATTGTCTCATTTCACTTTTTCTGTGTTTGGGACTCTTAGCAAATATATCTTTCGCCTTTTAATTTGATACACGAGTCATTTAGTTAAGGAATTCATGTAAATTGTTAAAAAAGATCTTACTGCTTAATCGCGATAAATTGTAACACTGCATGCTCTTTTAAAATGACCCCTTATAGGAGACAATAAATTGACTGCCTAAAGTAATATAATCGGAACGTTAGCTAAAGTATATGTTTGGAGTTTAAGTTAAGAAGGACAATGTCTCAATTCTTCACTTAAACTAGAATAAAGTATATTTTTAGGGGAGGGGGGGGGTTGTTAGAAGACCTTTGAAAATCAATGTGAAGGGGTGAAAGGCTTTTACTACGGAATTGGGCTTATTTTATGCAAGATGTAACATTCTAATTTAACATGTACACTGCTAATTTAAAGGTAAACTAATAATACTTGCTTTTTTTACTGAATATGATATTTTTCCTGGTAAAGATATTGTTATTTCTGGCAATCGTTTAAAGGGCCTACTCTGACGTTCTTTAAAAACCTATATGGGCCTAGATTTTTGGTGTTATTCTGTTGGCCTTATTCGTATTGTCAAGTAATTGCACTGACATCGTGCAAAAGTGAATTGGAATTTTATTAGAACATAATGATGTGATTGTGGGCTTTGGTTTGTTTAATAACATACATTAAAGCCAAGGTTTTCTTGTTGGCAAGTATGCATTATAGATTTACGGAGAAGGAAGTACTTTTGTCCTGATTTCTATCAATGTATGTCTTCTTCCGTATTTTATTTTCTGTATAAGAGGGTACGAGTTAAAATATGCTTGGCATAGCCATCATTATGAAATAATTTGAATATAAACGATTGCAAATGCACGATTTATCTTAATAGCAAATAGTTGATTGAAGTGCAGATGGTATTACTAACAAAAATTTTGCCCTGTTCTATAATTATTTCAATGCTTTGGGGGAAGTTTGAAAGCTTATTTTGAAGGTGAAGATTTTTGTTTGAAATTTTGATAACTTTTAAATGTGGGGCTTCTGCATGATTTTGTGAATGTAACTGATAGTTATGCTATCTCTCATTTTTGTCGAAAGTTTCAGGCCGCAGAAAGACCTCAAAACAAAATACTGACCTTCACTGAACTCGTTTTGATGGGTTTGTCTCTTGTAAATTGTATTTGACATGTTTTGCAAACTGGTGATATTTTTTTATCTGCTTCTGACAAGTTGATTACATTTCTTTGTTTCTTCTGTAATGCTTTTTATATATCTTGCTTTCTTTTCTGTAATTAAAAGCCCTTACGTATAAAACTTAAGCCCTTAACATATAAAAGTTAACTGAACAGTTCTGAACTGTATTGAATTTTGCGTCTAATTAACTTCAAATGACAGTTAACTCGTAATGAACTTTTTCACTTTTAGTTTGCCAATAGTGTGAACACTAATAAACACGGAAGTCATTGACTGCAAGCGTTACAGGCGCACTGATTTTCGAAACACCAATCTTTTATAAGAACTTTGAATTGACTTGCATTTTTGGATGATTTCATTTCATTTGGAAGGGAATTCCAAATCTTCGGACCCAAAAAGCTAATAGATTTTAACCACAATTTGTAGTTTTAACCTTTGAAACAGATAGAGTATCCATTTTTCGAAGGTTATAGCTATCGAGTTTTGGGAGAAAGTAGTCTTTCATAAAGGCTGGATTCAAGTTGTGCAGAGTTTTGTAAACTTCTAGTGCTAGCAGCCAAATGGAGTGAATATGAATTGTAGTAGATTTAGCCTTGACTAGAAGTTTAGAATACTATGAAGTGTAGTCTGAGAGGGCTAATCGTAGGGCCCTCTCGTTTACGTTCGTGAGCTTCTTTTGGCTTGCATTACTGCAGAATAACCTGAAGAGAGGACAGTTTTTGAAGTGACAAAGAATAGATGAATTAACAATCACCACTCTTTCTTTGCTACCCATGAATTGAGCTAGTCTTTTGATTGCGTTCAGCTGAATGACAGCTTTTTTGGAGACTTTACATTATGAGTGTCAAATTTTAGTTGTTCATCAATTTGAATTCCAAGTAGAGTTACGTCGCTATTTTCATTTATTTTGAAGCCATCATTTATAGAAAATTCTGTAATGTGATTAGTATCCACAATTAGTGATTGAAATTTAAATGGATTGGCTGTCATATGATTTGAATTGAACCAGTCAATTCATTTGTTGGTGTTCTGCTGTACTCATCTATGGAGTTCATTAGCATTAACAGCAAAAATGGAGATCGTATTATCATCGGCAAAGTTACATAGGGAGCCCTCCTGGATGACAAGAAATATGTCATTTATAAAGAGGTTGAAGAGCAATGGTCCAAGTATTGAGCCCTGAGGCACTCCTTGATTAAGTGGCCTCCATAAACTAAAATATCCACTGGCTTTCACCATTTGTTTTCTGTCAGTGGGATGACTCTGTAAAAGTTTGAGTGAATTTATACCGACTCCATTAGCAGCCAGTTTTGCAATTAGTAGATTTATGGGGAGGCTATCAAAGGCTTTGGATAAGTCCATAAGTACAACTGCAGTGTGTTTCTTTGCTTCTAGGCTAGTTCTCCACTCCTCTGTTAATCTTATTAAAAAATGCTAGGATGAAAAATGTTTTCTTTAGTGACATAAAAAGTCAAAGTCAGAGAAACTCATGATGATCTGATACCATTGATAGTAGTGCTGGCTTTTTGAATGCCAAGAGGGTTTTTGAGTCAAGGGTCATGACCTGTTTTTTTAGGTACAAAATAGTCTTTCATGAAAACAGGAATAAGAAAGTTCTTTAAGTGTTTTATCAACTTCAAGAGCTAAAATTTTAACTGATTGGATATGTAGGGTGGTTTCTTTTGAGTTAGCAAGTAATTTTCTGTACGAATTCTTTGTATGAATGGTCCGAATAGGCTAGTCATAATGCCCTTACAGCCTATGACCTCAAATGTGATTTAGTTGTTGACTCTGTAATAGTAAATTTCCCATTATACATATCATCAAGCAGGTTCATCAAGACACACACATGAAAAAATAATAGTGATGAAACGGACCATGTAGAAAAAGGAACAAGTATTATGTTTCTAGCTGTGATGATTTGTGCTTTTTTACTTTTAGGTGATGTGAGCTTGTCTATTCTTGTCTCTGGACATCATCTGAGCTAACAAATGCTGGATTGATATTACGTGGAGAATTCGATCAAGAGAGTTTCATAGATTCTGTACTTTAATAACACTGCCAAGAAAAACGAAGAGAACTGATATTCTAGGTAAGATAATCTTGGTTGCAAATAGAATTTTGCTTGGTCCATTCTTGATTGGTTGATAGCATTACTGTTGCACATAATTTTACCGTGTTTTAGCAAATATACTATATTGATGATTTTGTAAATACAGCTTAAGTTATGTAGAAACTGCTAATTCAAAAGTTCAAGGAAGATTTCAGAAAAACTCTTTTCCTTATTTGGAAATTAAAAGGTTGCCGTGTATATATTATTTAAGTTAACAGTTGAAATGTCATATAGATATCAACTTTTTTAGTTGATGGTTATCTTAGATCTGGGAAAAATCACCATAACTGTATATGTAGAGGTAGATTCTCTATTGAAAGCAAGAGCATACAATTTCACCGCTAGAATAAGCATCAGATTGGCGGTTGGTCTGCAGAATGTCTTGAAACCGAAAGTTAATGCTTTAGTAGTAAGTCTGGAAATTTCTGTTTTCTAGTTGCCTGTCATGAATTTGATCGCAAATCTTCATAGGACCACATCTTTTACTGAGATAGTGTTTGATGCTTGCAGATTTTGGTTGTTATCAAGAACACATGCTAGCTTTTTAAATCAAATTATTTGAGAAAAAGCTTGAGCTTTGCGGTGTTCCATTTGCCAGTTCATTATTCCTCGTTAAAATTTCTGATACATTGGTATGTCTGAAGCATACTATTGTACTTTGTTACTTACCCATGTTCATATCGAACATCCTTCACGAAATACTTGATAACATTTTGCGCGTGTCATCGATAAACAACTCCAAGTTTCAGGCCTTGTAGATTGGAGAGTTTGTACTCTTTTCTTAGATAGACATAGAAAATTCTGCTCTTCTTCGCTCTCCTTTTGGTTACTGTATTTGCGTATCCTATATATCTTACAATATCTTCTCTGTGCCAGCCACAAGCTAATCGGCACAAGGCACATAATTACCCTTTAAATGAATTCGTAGACTGCAAGTGCTACCTTATTTTCCCATATTTGCATTCAACGATATTTGTTGACGCTGACACTGCCATATAGCCATTCGAAATCTACATTGCTTCAATAAACAAGAACGATAAGAAAACTTTTCATCTTGTTGCCATTTGCGTCCCACCTAATCTTATCTTAATATTCCTAAAGTTTTTTGCAGTGAGAACCGTTTTTGATACATAACACAGGGGTGAAACCAAAAAAGATTTTTGGAGGGGTAAAGAAGTGCTTTATGCCAACAAAAAGGACGTGTCTCACTTTTGAAGGGTGTGATCAAAAGATAAATACTCTTATATACTGACAGAAAAGTTAATACTTTACAATTGTTGAAAAAGGTTCCAAGGTGACTACAAAAATAGCTTCTTATGCCCGGCAAAAAATCTTTAATGTGCCAACGGAAAAATTCTTGGGGGGGGGGTACCGCATCCCCCACCCTTAGGCGACGCCCCTGACATAACCAAACCAAGACCAACATATTTCTCTAGCCGGTTATACAACATTGTGGTAATCTAACTATTCACAAATGATTAGCTTTTCTTATCGAGTAATAACTGTCTTTACAGAACACAGAAACAAATAAAAGGATATAAAAGATAATAAAATACTGATGCTCCTCGCCAATGGAGGCTCCATATGTTTTGAAAATGAGGTTGTAGATTGCGCCTTCGCAACGATGGTTGTAAAGTACCGCTCAGTACTATAAGAAATTACTGGAAATATAAAATTTCAAACTTTTGAGGCTAAGTCAAGACCGATGAAATTATACTGATAGACAGGAAAGCTTACTAAATTTTTGACAGATTTAAACACCAAATATCGTTTGATCCGCTCAATTCGATAGATAAAGTGCATTTCTATCCGCCATCATTCGTAAAATCTAATTTGTTCTCGAAAAAGTACATAGTGTTATTTTACGCATGACAACAAATTCTAAGACTTAAAAGTCGTTTCAAAATTTTGGCGACATACCTTTAGGTTTAATTATCATATCACTTTCTAATCAGCAATTTATGGAGTCATAGAGACATCGCTTGGTTTCATGAATTCTTTGTTATCGTCGCCATCTTTACAACAGCCATCCGCTACGCGATTAGTCTTCCTTATTAAGATAGAAATCGATTTGTAAGTTTATTAAACCTAAACGTAAGAATGACTAACTCTGTTTTGCGTTCTCAGAAAAAATATTTTCATACAGTTATTGACAAATGGCTACTTTTTTTTAATAATTTTCGAATTTGAAATTACGATCGAACCAACAATTCCTTAGTGTGAAGATAAGATTGCCTTTGACTGGAGGATTGAATATTGCTACTTCAATATTTCTAGACAAGTACTCGTTTATTTAATAAAATACTCGTTGATTGGTAACAAGTAGTTCTGTATACGCGGGGATAGAGTGGGCTCAACTAATTTCACTTTGAGTGCCTTCTTTATTTTTCATTAGTATGTTTTCCCAGCAAATCTCATTTTCTTTTCTTTAGGAAAGATCTGTAATAATCAAAATTCCTCGGGTAATAATCATTGCAAGTAGTTTGGTACAGATTGCTTGGTAGTCTTGTAATGTATACTAAGGCATTTCGGCTTCCTGCGACTTTAGGGTTATGCGTAAACAAACGATGTTGAACTAAAGGAGAAAGTTGATCAAGCTAAAGCTGTGTATCTGAAGCTTAGTTTGCTGCGAACGACAAAAGGAGGAATTTTCGAGGAAATAAGGACTTCAAACTGCTTCGAAGTTCATTAGCTGATATTTATCATAAGCATTACTGCATGAAAATAGAGATTTGAAATAAGATATCGCTTTTTTCCTTCAGTCAAAGACGCCGTCCTTGAGTACCCTGTTTTAGTGGATGCAATGCGAGCAACCGCCTGAACAAACAACTGCTTGTCGGTTTGTTTCTGAATAAAAACAAGGAAATCGCCATATTTGCTCTTCATATCCCTTCGTTGTCTGTCAGCCGTTTGTTTTTGTGACGCCCCTGCGGAGTATTGTTGAATTTCTACTACTTCAGCTTAGGCGGAAATTTTAGGCCGCGTTAACAGAATGTTAATTTTCAGTCATAACAGATTTTAATCTTCTAGTTGGTTCTTGGCCAATTTGCTTTTCTATTGACTGCTTGAGTTTCTTTTCATTTAACTAGAGAGCTATTGAAACCATTACGTAAAGTAAACAATTGTTGCCTGAAGGTTTTCCCGAGCTTTCCAAGTCATTTTAGCAACAGTTCAATGTATGAAATATAGCTACACCAGCAAAGCAACAGCTCGAGCCTGAGATTTAGCTACACCAGTACTGCCTATTCCCCATTTGATTTAATGCTTGTTTTCAAATTTTTTGTAGCCTGCTCTTGACAATATCTATCTATTTTTCAACCTTTATCTATTTTCCTTAACATTCCTCTGCAAAATTCTAGCAATTCTTAATTATGTACATTAAGTGGTATTTTGAAGCATTCTTTCAGATTTTGTAAGAAAAATGTAAAAGGTTCGAAAAAAGAAGTCAACGTAAATTCTGCAATAGAATTTCATGGCGTCATAGCTTTACCACTCTTTAACATCCAGAGACAGATCTACTTTATCTTGTGAAACATGGTCCACTGGTGCTTGCTTAAATGCAATGCATCATGCCTAGACAATAACAAGACTACAATGCCTGGTAAAAGTACTTGGAACACTCAGCAATTTGCATTGCATTTTTATCTTTCATTTCTTTTCTGAAGGAAAAATTACTAATTCTGCCCACTTCCCCCTAGAACAATGTTGATAATTTGGAGAAATATCATAAAAGAAACGCAAAGGAAAGCACTTCTTAAAATCCTAACCCGTTTCATAGTAAACCAACATTGTTCCATGGGGGAGGGTGGGATGATTGTTTTGACCTTGCAAACTGACGTCTGTGTTCCAAGACTTTTGGCAGGCATTGTAGGTATCAACGATTAATTTAACCAGCCTCAACCATTTGCGAATCCAGAATAATAACTGATAATAGAACTATAGAAGATTTGCTAAGAGGTATTTATAATAGAAATAGCAAGGCATTTATAATGAAATCAATGGCAACATTTTTTCTTCCATCATGAAGTTTTAATTCTGATATAAATGTTTGTTGAAAAATTGGAGTGTATCTACATGATATTGTCAGCAGGTTTTCGTATCCATTTTGGTATTGGTGTAGGTGGTTTTGTTGCTGTTGAGGGTTGAGACTGGAAGCTTTTTAGCCTAATGTTTCTTGTTGCGGAGACAAATGAGCGAGAAATCTGCGCCAGTGACAGTTTAGGAATATGCGCAGTAGTTTTCGTGCTAGAGGGGCCTGATCTTTGGCTGCAAATGTCCCCAATGGCTCACTCTACGGATGAACTTTCTTTGCCTCCCTGGTCACATCTGTGTTGTATTGAAGTCTCTAACCTACACAATTTTAAAGATGTTTGTTTGATAATAGTTATGCCTTAGCGGAAAATCCATGCTTAATTTTGTTTCAGTTATGTTCTCAGGCCTATTGTCAATTTTTGATTTGTAAAAATTGACAGAGAGGTTTTTGCTTACATTTTGTCTTTGTGTTTGGAACCAAACTGCCAGATTGGTGAATACAGAAAATGTTTTTTTGCCTAATGCTCCTCAAAAAAGATCGCTTTAAGTATGAAGGTATATGGCAGCCTTTACCCCTTTACTTACCTCCGCTAAAGGCCCTTTTTGCAACCCTTCATCATACATGGTTCCTACAACATCGTTAGTGAGACGAACAGATTGACAAGATTTGCTACCCCGGTCCAAGCATGCAAAGAGCATGCACATTGAGGCCAATCATCACTGGGCATGCTCTTAAAATGTAAGATATGGGTGTAGCTTACTCGTTATAAACAAACAGAGCAGTTCAGTAGGATTTTTTGTGGTATGAATTCGAAAAATAGGTACTGCACGGCACTTTGTACCATTGTCACACATTTTGTCACACATTTTGAAGCCTAGGGCATCTGCACCCATTTGGTACTCGCTCTGCTTTTTAGGGGTTCTTAAACATTGCTCCAAAATGCATTGCGCAGGTGTCCAATGTTGAACCTATCAGATGGCTCACCAAGATGCAGGATGGCTCATCTACTTTGTCAGCAAATGGGCCCAGGACGACCCCCCTTCATTTGGAACATTTGCTAACAACGGCCCTATGAAAATCCTCTAAAAACGTCTTCAAGCTTACAGAATTTGCTTTATTTTCAGCAATTTTATCATCTGCTTAAAGTCTATTGTTGACCCATCATATAATTATATCAATCTCGGACGGATTACCCTATTTCGATTATTGTTTATGTGTGAATAGCCCAGGTTAGAAGATGACTCTTATCTGTCCATGTCCAACAAACAGCGTTGGTTTGACCTTTTTATGACGTAACCTCTAATGTTACAATTGTATCATTACCCTTGTTTTTTTCCACAGCAAGTCTTTATAAGCCTCTGTGCACGACATGTAATAAGAGCCACACGTACATCTGAGCTCTCCAAAACATTGCGAAATTTCGCGTATCGTATATCTGTCTAGGATTCTATAATTATTACTCGGAAAAATGTTTTCCCTTTGCAATAGATGACAATGTGTTTTTAGCATCACTACCTGAAGTCTTTGAACACACGCGTCAGCAGGGGCGATTCTAACCTTGGAACTCCGGGGGGGAAGGGGAAGGGGGCATCACAGAAAATCTTTGGATAGTAGTGTACAGAAATCATATGTTGATAAATGAACATATTTCTTCTAGGTGATTTGTATCTACTTGTCTCAAAATCTGTAGTGAAGATTATATGCGGGAGTTTAGAAAAAAAAGGCCC